TTGTTTCAAATAATCTCAGATTGTTTCAAATCATCTCAGATCATCCCCAACCATCTCAGATCATCTCATATTTTGCAACAGTCGTATGAGATGAGGTGGATTTGGAGCTGATGCTTCATCCTTCTGCTCCAGGAGGCTTTGAAGGAGCCGCTGGCTGTAAATCATGTGTTCAGACTGAGAGACTGAGCCCTCCGCAGCGCGTTGAATCCCCTCTTCCTGCTGACAAACGGCAGCTCTGAAGCAGGAAACAGGCTCTGATTGGACGACGGGGAGAAGCTGGAAGAGCCACAAAATGTGATGCCTCTCACACCGAGGAGACACGAGCAGAAAACGGGAAAGCTGTTCAAATGTGGCTCAGAAAAGGAAAAAAAGCGGCCTAAAAATCCAGCGATCAAGAGATCTAAATGATAACTATCATCTTTCACAATACAACATAACCTCTACACAGGTTCCAGGACCGACATCCTATGTTAAAATATTTGTATGTTGGTTCAAATCTTCCCATCAGAATACACGGTAATTCCTATAATTGGTTCCAAAAACCTATAACTCCTTAGTAAATACTGTACATAATAACACATAGCAATAAAATAAATACATCATATAAGAGAGATGTAAAAAAGAATTAATGAAAAAGAAATAATCAATAAAGAGTTTTTTATTGATAACCTTATATCATTTATATATAAAAAAAATATGTTATATCATTTATATATCAAATAATATATATATAGCTGTATTGTTATATTTATATAATCATATAATATTTATATTATTATTATTTATATTCTTATATCATATAGACTGAGATACAGGACGTACCATAACTTACTCTGACTTTCACTATGTGAACTTTAAACCAACTTAGCTTATTTGTTTTTATTCAATTTTTATATTTTTTTTCTACGACTTTGACAATATACTAACTTACCTTATTTATTCTTAATTCTTATATTTTGCATGTTTTTTCTATGACTTCAACATACATTGCATTACTTTGGGTGTCGAGTCGAATATTTGATCAAATTTCCCCTCGGATGTTGGAAAACCCGTGTGTTTTACAGTCGTGAGCTGAGGTTCTGCTGAATTAACACTGCAGAGTTTTTCTAGGTTGATTAATGAAATGTCATTGAAGTGAATGTAGACGTTGAGCCCCTGATGGGATGCATCCATCTGCCTCCTAATCCCACTTCTTTCCGTCAGAGGCCACATTTCTGTGTTCCCTCCTCAGCAGAATTAATGGTTTACTCACTGGGAGGGTCCAGATCAGGCCTGGTCTGGCTCAGGTCTGGTTCAGGTCTGGATCATGTCCTTAGGTCCAGATCAGGTCTGGTCTGGCCCAGGTCTGGTTCAGGTCCTCAGGTCAGGATTAGACCAGGTCAGGCTCAGGTCTGGTTCAGGTCCTCAGGTCAGGATTAGGTCAGGTCTGGCTCAGATCTGCTTCAGGTCTGGATCATATCCTCAGGTCCAGATCAGGCCTGGTCTGGCTCAGGTGCGGTTCAGGTCTGGATCAGGTCTGGATCAGGTCCTCGGGAGGAGGCCACAGGATGCTGCGGGCTGCTGTGAGTCTGAGAGCTGCTGGAGTGCTGCTGCCGGTAATGAGGAGCGTGCTCTGCATCTTAAAGCCCCCGTTCAGGGCTTCAAGTCCGGGTGGGGACCCACATGAGTAGACACACCAGCAGGGCCTCCAGCTGAGCCTCAGACCGGATCCTTAAACCAGATCCTAAAACCAGATCCACAGGCCAGATACCTAAACCGGATCCACAAACATGATCATTAAACCAGATCCCTTAACCAGAATCAGATCCTCAAACCAGATCCTTAAAGAAGATCCTCAGACCAAATCCTCAAACCAGATCCTTAAACCAGATCCCTAAACCAGATCCTTAAACAAGATCCTCAGGCC